GTGCTATGACGCCTTAAGCTCAATTTCTAATAATGTGGCAAAAAACGCAAAATTGTCTCATCAAAAATCAGTGGCTCTTCTTTTGCGATTAGTGAATCGAAAAAGGTAGTTTCTTTAATTCAGCTTCAGTTCGCCAATAAACCACTATGTTCAGTTTTTCCGTTTGGTTCACTTCACCGTCGAGCTTAAGTGTTCTTAGAAGGCGGCACATTTTTTTTCAATTCGCGTCCGTTCGTTCAGACCAATGTCGCAGACCTAACATGGAAAGATGCAAGAAAGCAAGGGAAGTTGGATGTGAATGATTGGTCTTTGAGGCTATTCATGTTGGTACAAGCTTTTGGCTTAGTTTGTTGTGCCTAGTTTGCTTTTTGCTTAATTTTGAGCGCAAAGGCCTTTTAAAAATTCTTGAAACTACGCTCTCGTTTCTTTTCAATATAACATCCTATGGTGTGCTGAAATTGTTCTATCTAAACTTGGTTTTTAAATTTAAAAAATTGCCATGAATTCTAAATTGCTCGTTTTGGGTGTTTGAACCTTTCATTTAAGTATTAGCTGCACTGCAACAAGCTTCACGAACTACTAAAGCATTTTTTCTTGGGGTGGCATAAGTGAAGCAAGCCAATTAGCAGTATCAGTCAATTTGAAAAAAGAAATTTATCAATTGCACATGCCTCAATTTATAGATCGGACGCACTTTAGCTAGTATACGAAAGCCCTGAATGTTCATAATTATACAAAAAATGATCACAGGTGGAATATTTTTTCGAATTTAAGCTCAGGACAACAATATCTTTTGAATGATATTTAAAAATTCCGTCAAAAACGGCTGGTTAAAAAGTCGAAATTGTCTCAAGAAAAAACAACCATCCCGAGCACAAGTATTTTGTTACTTTCGTTAGGAAAGTCGGTCGGAACAAAAATAGTCGGTGTTAATATCCTCAGCATTGTCTGTACTTAATAGCTGGTATTGAGCAAAATGAAGACATTTCATCGCAACAATATTTGCGTCGGAACAATATTTGCGACTTAGGTTGAAAAAAAAGATTGTTCATACTATAACACAAGTTATGCTTGTATAAATATAACTTTTGGAACAATATCGTTTCATTATTTAGATGATCAAAATATATTTAATGCCAAACTATTGGCAATATCTGTGACCATGGGCAGTTTAATCGGTCAAAAGCTATAGCATTTTAGGTTAATTAGTTTTTCGGAATTCTTTTTTACGAGTGGAAATTAGCCATTAAAAATTCGACGTCAAAATGAATAGGTTTAGGTTAGTTCAGCGGCTTTTCAAAAAAAGAATTTTCTCTTTTCAAATTTACAAATGTCTCTAACTTTTCAAGTTTCAAATTTTTAGGCTTTCGTTCAGATGCTCTCATCTCACCAAAACACGAGACGAAGCAAATTGAAAAAAAAAACAGTTATAGTTTTGTTTCAAATTTGGTCGGAACCATCTGTGCTACTTGCACAGCAATCAGTTATCCTTGTTTTACTTGTTGATTTAGTTTTTGAAAAAAAAATGAGAAGTGGAAAAATAACTGAAACTTTGAAATGCATTTTTGCATTATCGGCATATTACTAATCACTCGAATGTGCTATGACGCCTTAAGCTCAATTTCTAATAATGTGGCAAAAAACGCAAAATTGTCTCATCAAAAATCAGTGGCTCTTCTTTTGCGATTAGTGAATCGAAAAAGGTAGTTTCTTTAATTCAGCTTCAGTTCGCCAATAAACCACTATGTTCAGTTTTTCCGTTTGGTTCACTTCACCGTCGAGCTTAAGTGTTCTTAGAAGGCGGCACATTTTTTTTCAATTCGCGTCCGTTCGTTCAGACCAATGTCGCAGACCTAACATGGAAAGATGCAAGAAAGCAAGGGAAGTTGGATGTGAATGATTGGTCTTTGAGGCTATTCATGTTGGTACAAGCTTTTGGCTTAGTTTGTTGTGCCTAGTTTGCTTTTTGCTTAATTTTGAGCGCAAAGGCCTTTTAAAAATTCTTGAAACTACGCTCTCGTTTCTTTTCAATATAACATCCTATGGTGTGCTGAAATTGTTCTATCTAAACTTGGTTTTTAAATTTAAAAAATTGCCATGAATTCTAAATTGCTCGTTTTGGGTGTTTGAACCTTTCATTTAAGTATTAGCTGCACTGCAACAAGCTTCACGAACTACTAAAGCATTTTTTCTTGGGGTGGCATAAGTGAAGCAAGCCAATTAGCAGTATCAGTCAATTTGAAAAAAGAAATTTATCAATTGCACATGCCTCAATTTATAGATCGGACGCACTTTAGCTAGTATACGAAAGCCCTGAATGTTCATAATTATACAAAAAATGATCACAGGTGGAATATTTTTTCGAATTTAAGCTCAGGACAACAATATCTTTTGAATGATATTTAAAAATTCCGTCAAAAACGGCTGGTTAAAAAGTCGAAATTGTCTCAAGAAAAAACAACCATCCCGAGCACAAGTATTTTGTTACTTTCGTTAGGAAAGTCGGTCGGAACAAAAATAGTCGGTGTTAATATCCTCAGCATTGTCTGTACTTAATAGCTGGTATTGAGCAAAATGAAGACATTTCATCGCAACAATATTTGCGTCGGAACAATATTTGCGACTTAGGTTGAAAAAAAAGATTGTTCATACTATAACACAAGTTATGCTTGTATAAATATAACTTTTGGAACAATATCGTTTCATTATTTAGATGATCAAAATATATTTAATGCCAAACTATTGGCAATATCTGTGACCATGGGCAGTTTAATCGGTCAAAAGCTATAGCATTTTAGGTTAATTAGTTTTTCGGAATTCTTTTTTACGAGTGGAAATTAGCCATAGAAAATTTGACAACAAAATGAGCAGGTTTGGCTTTATTAACTTCGTTCAGATTCGTTGACCGAAAAAATTTAGTATTAATTGAAAAACAAAATCGTTTTCGAGATGGTCAAAAGATATATTTTATAAATTTGGTTGAACATTGTCATAGCGCCGCTGCGAGTGACCAGCATTTGGCCGATGGCCTGTTTTAAGGTGAGTGCAATACATTGAGTGCAAGTTCTTAAAATTTAACTACTTCCGAAATGAAAGCCTCTATTCGCATCGCAGCCCCCGGGTCGAACTCCATAGACTGAGTTTGTTCATACTATCCAATACAAAAAATCTGTGGATTCTTTTTACAATTTATGAGCTATTGCATTACAAACAGTTCTGCACACTGCTTGACTGTCACCTATTTTGTCTATAATTTACTATGATTCGAACATTGCAAAATTTTTTTTCTGTTTCGAGAAAACCTGTTAAAATTTTTGTTTTTTGGTCTAATTTCGAGCAAATAAGGTGAACTAGCAAGATTTAAATTGCTCATTTATGCTTAATTAAAGTCGTGAAAATTTAGTTTTACCCGCGTAAAGTTAGTTTTTGGAGTTTGAACTAGAAAAAACTGACAAAAGACAACTAAGACGACAACCTTTGATTAGACAGAATTTGCGCCGAAAAAAAAAGATTTTATAAATAAAGTTTAAAAATTTTGAAGTTCCACTGAATTCTCATTAAATACTACTCGCCCTTGTAACTTTAATAAAATTTGCTCATAGAATAAGAAAAACCCGTGACAAGACAATTAAGCCGACAATAATTGAGCAGAACAAGTTGAGCCACAAAAAAGGCTTTATATTAAAATTTGCAAGCCCCCCCCTGAAACTGCATTGAACCTCACTTGCACATGCAACTACAATGAAAGTTTCTTGCAGCACAAACAAAATTCGTGATGTAGCAACTAAGCCGAAAAAACTTAGTTAGAGCAGACAAACAAAATTCCGACAAATCAAATTTCAACGATAAAAAAATTTGTCACAGGAAGAAAATTTGGAAAGGAAATTGATATGAAACAAAAATTTTGAGCGAAACTTTTATATTCAAACGACCTGATTTAATCAAACTTAAAAAAATCATTTTTTCCACTGCAAAATAGTTTCACTAAACCAAAGTAACATAAATCGAAACCATCTAGACCGAAGAAAATTTCTAAGCATAAAAAAAAAATACACCAGTCAGGCTGTTCAATTTTTCCGGATTTTACACTGATAAAAATAAGGTCCGACTGATTTTTTAATGAAGCCGAACTTCATGTATCAGACAACGCAAGGCAACTTGAATCTGTAGAATGAAACAAATAATTTTCAAATTAGATTTTTCTAGCCATATTCATAAGGTTACAAACCCTATACAAAATGCTTGCTTCATACAATTTATTTGGTGTTGATGATATCAATATTGCGCAAGTCAAGCTTCCCTCACCTCAAATTGGATTATTTCTGAGCACTTACTTCACTCTAATAGGCACTTAGCACAGTGGTAAGGCGTTCACTTTGTAATCGTCAGATCGTGCATTCGATCCCATGCCATGGCAATGATAGTGTGTGAGGACAAGCTCTCACTTGACCTCCAGCTTCAGGTCTACCGCAACCTGACCAAATTTGGCTGCAATAGTGGTACCACGTAAAAGTTCTAGACGCAAAAAAATGGCCTTGAGTTGCAAAAAACAGCTTCGCTCAGCAAAATAACAAAGTCTGGAATGTGGGGAGATAATACAAATGGACTATCCTCGACAGGACTGTTAAGGCCTACTGATAGCTCCTCTGCGATTCGCAGGAACTACAATTATTATTATTATTACTATAAAACGCAAGATCGGCATGAAAGTGATTATCCGATCAAGCTTACTCTCGCTTAATAGTTAAACTTCGCTTTCTAGAAATTTTGATAGCCTGAGAATAAAGGTTAAAAACTTCAAGCAAATTTAGATTAATTGAATGTCTGCGCAACAAAATTCAAAGATTAAATATGAGTCATTACTAGATTCACAATTACAAATTGAAATTAAACAAAACAAAAAATGTTGTCTTGCTAAATACAAAACTCAAAGGATAGATATCAGTTTGAAACGTATCAAAGTAAATTCAAGTTTTGAAAAGTATCAAGGTATCATAATCAGTTGTTTTAAAAGAGTCAGTTTAAGACTGTTGTTTTGTTATAAAAACCTATCAGTTTCAGTTTTTCACTTATCAAACGCTTTTTTCCACTCAGACGCCATTTAGTCAGTCTTGTATTTGATCGCTAACAATTCAAACTCAAATGTTTTGCGCAAACTCATGTTGTCTCGCTCCAGGGCATTTACTGGGGCAGTAAATACGTCCAGACCTCGATCCAAAAAGACTTTCCACTTGTGTCCGAATCGGATCCAGGGTTTCTTGTTCAGATCCAGTGGAACACAGAAAAACTCGAATTCGATGCCCAGAGACAAAACTCCCTTTTTGAGCGCGTTCAATTCAGTGATAAAACCTTGAATAAACAATGGTAACTATATCTATTTCTCAGTTCCCGGCAGTTTGAAAAACCAATTTGCAGATTCAACTTATTTTCCAGCTGTTTACCTCAAGGAACTTAGCTTTTTTACAATTGCAATTTCATTTGAATACGTATGTCTATAATTATTGAATAAGTGATACATCGAATGAGCATTAATCACATTAATTATATATACGAATGATAGTAAAAACAATTTGCTCTTTTGAGATTTGAAACATTTTTGCTTTCGAGTTTGGTCGAATCGGAATCTTTCCTCGAAATATAAAACATACTGGGCGAAACCCAAACATATCGACTGCGACAGTTTGAACTCAGTTACTTTGAGGCCTTGTTTTAGTGTTATCGCAGTGTCCGATTATTATCAGATGTTTTATATTTAAATTGTCCGAATTCACATGTCTGGGTAATTTTTTATCTTCATACTGATGTAGATCGCTTCCCTGGTGTTTTTTTTAAAACATTACCTGCGATTTGGTGCTCTGTCTCGGGCTTGTTTCTAAAATGACTCTCTTCACGTTAGTCTTTGAGTGCAGAAAATTAATCAGTCTGGCCAAATTGTACGTGTGATGGGGAAAGATGAATCTCGGATCATAAATGTAAGCGAAGTCCATCTGAGGGTAAACGAACTCATCGAAGAGATCCTTATAATCTTTATTGGTACTCCCTGCTGCAAAAAAAAACAACAATTATTTTATTACGCGAGAAACAGGCGATTAGTACAATTGCTCTTTTAATTGAAAAAAGCTATAGCCTTTAAATTTTTAGCCGTAAAATAGAAGTAACTTTTGCTTTATTCTGATAAATTAATCAAGCAGACTCAATAAGGGTTAGTAGCAGTATTTAGACAACCGCGTATTCAGACACTGTATTAACCAATCAGAACCGAGACAAGGAAGATATGAAATTCATCCTCGTTTCTTCCTTGTCTCGATTCTGATTGGTTAATACAGTGTCTGAATACGTGGTTGTCTAAATACAGGCCGCACTCATTCAATTATAATACAGAGGCCAATCAAGCAAACATCACAAACAGCATGGCAAGTTAAACGACATTAAATGAGTTGAAAACTACTAATTAAAAAGTTAAACAAAAAACTTAATATACCGAAAGTTTCAATGTTTGTCGCGACTTATCTCGAATGATACTAACTTTAAGAAGAGCATGTCAAACTACACTAAAAATAGTTAAACTTACATCGAATCAAAATTCAAGAACCGGAAAGTAAGCCGACAATATTAGGATAGACACACTATGTCGAAAACAAAGTTGTCAGAGAAAATTTCATCTGTAAAAAAAACTTTAAACTTGCCGACAAAAGTTTCTAGCTTTGTCTACTATTATTAAAATGGCCAAGAACTACGCTTGCGTTTAGGGATTTATAGAAACCATATTCATAAAGACAATTCAACAACTTCTATCCATTTGTCAATTAATACCTCATTCCAGCTCGAACTATTTCAGGAAAACCTTAGGTGAATTAATCTAATCCATTTGAATTTTCATTGAACGTTATGAAGACTTAGAGTCAAAGTTTTGCGTAGCTTTTCTGTTCTGGACAGTTGGGGAAACTATATGAAAAAAAAACAGACAGTAAGTTAGAAAAGAGTCACTGAACGCAAGAAAACATCAAAAAATTGACCTTCTTTTGCAAAAAATTCACTAACTTTAAACTTGCCTACAGAAGTTTCTAGCTTTGTCTACTATTATTAAAATGGTCAAGAACTACGCTTGCGTTTAGGGATTTATAGATACCATATTCATAAAAACAATTCAACAACTTCTATCCATTTGTCAATTAATACCTCATTCCAGCTCGAACTATTTCAGGAAAACCTTAGGTGAATTAATCTAATCCATTTGAATTTTCATTGAACGTTATGAAGACTTAGAGTCAAAGTTTTGCGTAGCTTTTCTGTTCTGGACAGTTGGGGAAACTATATGAAAAAAAAACAGACAGTAAGTTAGAAAAGAGTCACTGAACGCAAGAAAACATTAAAAAAACTAACCTTCTTTTGCAAAAAATTCACTCTATGAAAATTCACACTGAATTTTTTGCAAAAGAAGGTCAGTTTTTTTAATGTTTTCTTGCGTTCAGTGACTCTTTTCTAACTTACTGTCTGTTTTTTTTTCATATAGTTTCCCCAACTGTCCAGAACAGAAAAGCTACGCAAAACTTTGACTCTAAGTCATTTGAATTTTCATTGAACGTTATGAAGACTTAGAGTCAAAGTTTTGCGTAGCTTTTCTGTTCTGGACAGTTGGGGAAACTATATGAAAAAAAAACAGACAGTAAGTTAGAAAAGAGTCACTGAACGCAAGAAAACATTAAAAAAACTGACCTTCTTTTGCAAAAAATTCACTCTAGTGGCCATCTAAAGCTGAAAGTAACAGTTGATAATTTTTGAATTTTTTGTACTCATGCGGTATGAAATAGGTTATTTCAAAAATTGGGCTTGACTCAAAAACTTAGTTGTTTCTCTAACAAAATATTAGTGAATTTTTTGAGAATACGGACTTTTCTCGAAGACATAGCATTTCTCGTGCAGTTTTTAATGCGTAGCCGCTGATACACGGAGGCTTCGCTCACACTGCTGTCTCCATTAAACCCTTGATACAGATTAGGAAGAGTAGTTTTAGAGAACTGTCAAAAAGTTGAAAAAAAATGTCAAGAAATCAAAATTTTGATTTTTCCGAGGGTCATAACATATCGTGCTAAAAAAAATAGCGCTTAGCCTTTTATGTAGATGACCTTCCTACAACCCGTTTTCGCTATTGAACCCATAATCTCAGATTTGGGAGATAAGCTTTCGAGCAAGGTCAAAAAGTTCGAAAAAAAATATTGAAAAAATCCAAATTTCGACTTTTACGAGGATCTTGACTTTACGATAATCGTGTAAAAAATCTGGACGTAGCCGCTTATGCAGGGCAACTTCTCACACCCCAATCTATCTATTAAACCCGAAGTCTCAGATTTTAAAAGTAGTTTTTGAGAAAAAGTAAAAGTCAAAACTTTTGGTCGAATATTCCCACCACAGAGTTTTTCGAAGACTGTAGAAAGGGAGCATAATAAGAAGAGACTAGGGGAATACGCAGGAACACAGAAGAGTGAGGATCATCCCATCCTATTGGTACCACTTTTTTAAAAATCGGTAAAGTAGTAGCTGAGAAAAACTTAAACGTTCTGAAAGACAAGAAAATTTTTTATCAAACTGTACTGTCGAATTTTAAAGTAAAATGGCTTCACAGCTCATTGAATTCCAAGACCAATTCAGAATTGATGACTTATAGCAGATGAATTTGAATTGAACTCAATAAACTTCATAAAAGCCTTAATAAATAGGAATGAACGCACATCTGTAGTTATGAATGACCGGAGAAATTTATTCTATTCTTTCTTTCTTTTATGAAAGCATTTTAAGATTTTTCCTGAAAAAAAACGAAAAATAATACCATGACCTACATAAGACTACTACGTTCATTGACTGTTTAAAAACGTTAATTGACAGTCGTTTGTTCATTATTGATAAATAATTGTTGGTTAAAAGCCACTATGATCCGCATTAAACGTTTGTCAGAAGACAGCAGAATTCTAGTAGAAAAATCAGCTCGCTAATCTGTTAACCGTCCAAATGAAAAACAAAATTTGCCAGTTGACATTTCCAACACAATTCCATCGGATATTAACAACACAGTTCTATTCCGTTTAACAACGTTAATCCTGTTTGATAACGCCTGCTACTTGCGATTACGAGGAGTCTTGCAAAAGAAAGCAATTCGACCTCAAAAAGGATGTTCATCGATTATAATACCACCTGGGAACAAAACTTCAACTCTATCAATCTAAAAATATATATATTTGAAACATATTTTCGTGGTCGAAAGCTTTTAGCCACCTTACCCTTTATCTTGTACTCAACATGCAGATCAACCTCATAAAGACCTTCGCTTTCTTCGGTGCTGCAAACATTTGTCACTTTGATCTCGTTGGGGTCTTCGATGGCATTTCCCATCGGCACATCACACAGCCGGCGTTTCGTCAACTTTCGAGCAGCCTTTGCCATGTCTTGCATTTGAGTATTGCCTGATGAGAAAGCAGTTGTGAATTCATTATCAACATGACCAGTTTTATCTTTCACGGGTCGTGCTGTTCTAGCTTCTGCGAATGATTGAGATCCCAAAAAGTCCTCAGATACTTGTCGTGGCCACTTTTCAGATTTTACAACCGAGCTTAGGGGACGAGGATCTCTTAATGTTTCGGACACGTGTTCAGTTTCCGAGCTCAAAACAAAACCTGGGTCAATATAGTTTAGGGTTGTAAATTTCTTAGTTTGAAGAGAATTATGCATTTTAGCATTATTCGATTCTCTAAGAAGAGTAAACTTTTGGAATTCTTCCTCATATCTTTTGCATGACTCTCGATATTTGCGCTTAAGGGTCAGCTTTTTGCGCGCATCTAGTGGTGCAGACCAAACCGTGTCACTACTAGTTAACTCGGCGTTTGAGTTGGTGTTGAGCTGACAAATTTGACGTACTTTCCTTGATTTACGTTTATTTCTTCCCATCGCCCAATCTAAATGCTCACATAAGGGTTTTGCTATGGAACAACATAAGGTGAAATATTTTTTGCATAAATTTTTTTTTGCGATACAACAAAAACTTAGCATTACTAGCTAGCGGTAAAAAAACAAAGAGGAAGCCACTAAGTCGGCAAAAATGTTGGTAAAAAATACATATACCAAAACTTCCTCTATTCTCGATTCGAAGAAATCATGTCAAGAAATACAGTCTCCAGCATTAAATAAACATTCAAAAAGGTGACGCCATACGGAGAGACGCCCGTTGAACCGAAAACAAACCTGTTGTTAAAAAACAGCTATAGTTTTGCGCGTGCCTCCTGATAGCATAAAGCAAAATCATAAATATCTACTTCTGTTCTTCTAACGACGCAATCTAAGGTAAATCATTCGCAGGGGTGGTAAATTTTCAAATTGCATAACAAACCAAAATGATTTTCAATTATAGTAAAATTTACGTAATCAGAAGAAAAGTCAAAGCTTTGAAAAGACAAAAAAAATGACCTGGCAAACAAAGTCCAACAATTTGAATAAAAAATTGGCTTCTAGTCGGAACTAAGCCATGAACCTTGGTCTTCCCATGGACGTTACCTTTATGCTGGAACTTGATAGACTAAAAACAAGCCCAGGAGTCCAGCATAGTCCTTGCTTAGCGGGAAAAAGACTATTAGCTAGTTGCAATAACGTTGCTAATCGCATATGAAAACATGGTTCAATATGCGTAAGCTTTGAATTGAGCTGCTTTGAAAATAGCTTCATTCTAAGTAAACTGAGTGCCAAATAACGGATTAGAGGTGCAATTACTTATATTACACTACAGCTTTAAATCTACGTTTAAATCAAGATATATTGGACTTATCTGAATACGCAAACCAATTCACTGACTATTAAGCACATCAGGAAATGATCATCCATTGACGACTACACTTAGATTCCATCTAGAGATTGTGTGACTTTTCGGTGTATAAGCTCAATAAAAAAGGACTAAAAACAAAGTTAATTCCGGTGATCAGAAAATATGAGTTCATTATCTTCAAATAAAACAATAATTTCAATTTCATTCTTGAGCACTGCACAAAACAAATACTTTTACATTCGAAGTCAAAACTAACAATATCCTTCAATAGTTCAGTTCATTAAAATGTCACTCAAAATCTCCAACACGTTGCTCAGAACCAATAACTCACAAACGCAAAAATGAATTTAGTATCCTTCAATAAAAATTTCCGATGACTTCATCATCTCAAACTCAAATTATTCACATGTTATTATTGCAAAAAATACGGTTTTATTCAGTTCTTTAAAATGACTTTAAAAATTACTGTTCCCCTCCAACTTCGGCAGCATGCGACTGTGTTGGAGCTTCCTGCTTCTGTGGACCAGTGGCATTAGGGTGTGACAGAGGCCTTCTAAAAAGTAGAACATGTGGTTCAGGCGAATGCTGTGCATAATGAATCCATCCTGGGCTCATAGTTATTCCTATTCTTCTCCACTCTGGTTCCGAGAATAGTTTGCTTTTGGGGAGAGCAGCTGCAGTGCTCTTAGGAAGAATAACATGCCGGTACTCGAAATTGCTATCGTAGTATTTCTCGGAGTAGTAGATTTCCTTCATTTTCGCAGTTTCGATTCTAATTCAGTACACGAAGTAGTCTTAAACAAATTTTCTGAAATTTGGAAGCAATCTAAAGGCAAAGTTTCTTAAACTAGAATATAGCCAACAGACACTTGGACAAAACCTATGAACGCAAGGTACTACTATGATAGAGTGGTCCCTTGAAAACAACCAGTTACCTTGAGAATAAGACACAGAGCTCTCAATTCGTTTAATAATTACTTGTCAAACCTAATTATTACCTAATAATTACTTGTAATTACTTGTCAAACACCCTTGTCAAACCCCGTATCATCAAATTCTTCTGGGATTATTACAACTCAAACTATAATGAACTAGACATTTGTTCTTGGCAATTTGCTCGCCACTGCAGCACCTGCCGCCAACGCATTCCATAGCATCATCATTGACTTTATTTCGGGCTCACGCCCCTAAATCTTTTGATTGTAAAACCATAAACACAACAACACAACAAACAAAAAAGAATTAATTCCCTTATTAAAAATAAGGCAAAACTTATATAAATAGATGAACAAATATATACTAAAAACTAAGATCTACAGAAAAAGCAACGGCACTTCAAAAACCAAGTGCATGAGTTTTCACGATTGAAGAGTTTAGAGCGCTCTAGTAAGAAGTCTTTGAGGGTACTGCGAAAACGGCGCAAAGAGGTGAAAAAGTCGATCTCCGTTGTTTTCAGCATGTAGTTCACGGCACGTGCTGTTCGGTGGGTGAAGAACGTCTCGGTTGACCATCTTCTTGCGGTTTTCACTGTCATCAACGCGCTGGATCTTGATGTCGTCACCTTAAAAAAATAATACGCAGCAAAAGGGAGTTCTGAGTCGCCATTTAACATTTTGTGGAAAAGGATAAGGTCGTTAAATATAAGCGTGAAGGAGATGGGAAGCGAATTCGTTAAAGAAAGTTGCTTTAAATAAGATAAATAACCTGTAACCCAGGTAAGACATTTCCTGTTGAAAATCTCAAGCTTCCTTAACATAGTTAAAGAGGGAGACCACGCAGGACTAACATACAATAAAATACTTTTAACACAAGTATTGATGAACATGAGTTTAACAGAAAGTGGAATGTGATATATAATAGGACGTTTGATAAAATGAAAGCTTTTATTGCTCGATAGAAGTTTTTTACTAATATGGTCTGACCAAGTAAGATCAGAGCTAACAAGCAGACCAAGGTCTTTGAGAAAATTAATAGAATGAACAGGTTGGTTGTTAACAAAAATACAATCAGGAAATTTGCCATTGAATATAATGAAATTGCACTTGTCTTTATTGATCTTAAGACCATTCTGAGTACACCAATGAGTGAAACTGTCCACATCAGACTGTAAATCACTGCAATTTTTCTTACAAATGAGTTTTGAGTCGTCAGCGAAAAGAAAACAGTTTGAATGGTTATATATATCAGGAAGATCATTAATAAACAAAAGGAAAAGCAGAGGACCCAGTACGCTCCCTTGAGGTACACCACTAGTAACTGGTAAAGTGGTGGAAATGCTTGTTCGAACTTTAACACATTGAAAACGGTTTGAAAGATAAGAAATCAAAAGAGTGGTAAGAATATCGTCAAAACCAAAAGCAGCAAACTTCTGTACAATAATGTCGTGCCTGACAGAATCGAAAGCTTTGCTAAAATCGAAATACATGGCAGCGCAAGGAATTTTGGCATCATGAGTGTGATATACTTCATCTAGATATGAGAGCATTTGCGTTATGGTGAAACGCTTCTTGCGGAATCCATGCTGAGCATTCGAAATTTTGTATCGAACTCGAGGGTAAATATAATTGAACAAAATACGCTCGAAAATGAGTGAAAGAGGAGGAAGTATGCTAACTGGCCGATAATTGGTAATATCATAAGGAGAACCAGATTTGAAAACAGGAGTGATGAATGCAGTTTTCCAGGAATCGGGCCAAACAAGATTGTATAATGGATAAGAAAAGGAAAGAAACAAGCGGAGAAAGAATGCTGTGACAGGATTTATAAATGAAAGCAGGTATATTATCTGTAGAACGAGTCTCTTTGCATTTAGCTAGGAGCTCGCCAACAATACTGGGGGAGACATCAACTTCGGAAAGTTTGATTTCCGAATCAGCCAAATTACCACCAGCGGAAGGACTACTTTCAGATACTTGATAACAAGAAGCGAAATATTGATTGAAAGTCTCACTAATTAAAACATCGCTCTCGACCTGTTTGCGTCCCCAAAAAAGTTTAGCAGGGACAGGTTGTGTTGATTTAAATTGGTTAAGAAACATAAAAACATCCATGGAAGAATTCGGCGAAAAACGTTGAATCAGCAGAGTTTTATCGAGTTCAACTGAGTTTGAGAAATCATTCTCTAATTGAGACAGATATTGGGGATTAACACAATTCGAATTGTTCATAGTTCTCAGTTTATTAGCAATATGAATAGAACGAGATGAGAAGTAAGACGGAAAATCTTTTCTGCGAGCCGTAATTTTACGACATGAAGAATCAAGTGCTTGATAAACAGTTTCGTTGAACTTGTCAATGAACTCATTATGACAGTTTGAATGCAAGATAGAGTATAAGGGGGATATAGCCCGACTGAAACTTTCTAAATTAAGACTACTTTTTGAGTAAGTGACAGATCGCTTTGTAGTAAAATGTGAAACTGAACTTGCAGCAAATACATGCGCAAAAACAGGAAAATGATCAGAATAAGCAGTGGCACCTCGAAAAACTATGAATCGATGAGGATCTGAAACGCAGAGCAAGTCAAGGATGTTGCCCGAAACTATGGTGCTGAAATCAACAATTTGAAGCAAGTCAAGATCATCTAGTGCTGTCAAAAATTTGTTTGAATAATCAAAAGTAGCAGTGTGTGAGCTCCAGCAGACATCAGGAAGGTTGATGTCTCCGAGAACTGCGGTAACAACTCGGTCTTTCGCAACTTTGCGTTTGCGACCGAGACATTTTACAACCTCATCACGGTGGTTAAACATAGCCTCAACAAGCACAGAAGGATCAACTCTGAATAATGAAGTTTGAGGTGGATTGTAAATCAATAAGAAACTATAAAATGCTTTCTGGAAATCAATAATGATAGAACAGCAAAAATCAGAGTAAGAAAAGGATGATAAAATACTGAGTTCCAGGCTCACACGGACAGCAATAAGCACTTCTCCATGTGCTCCTGAAGTTCTGTCAAGTCGCATGAGGACGTGATAGCCAGAAGCAGGGAAGATTTCGTGATTCTCTATCTCATCATAGAGCCAGGTTTCGGTGATAAACAGTAAATCAATGTTGTTAGAAAGCAGAAAATTGCATAGCTTGAGACGTTGAGTACTTGTTATCAAGCTTTGAGCGTTGATAAGACACAACCTCAAATCCGCTCATTCGGGTAACGGAATTTCCACATTATTATGGTAAAGTTTCAGGTTTTTTTGATCTTGAGATCGCTCTTTGGAATGTTGTCTTTGGTGGAAACATCAGTCCTCAGTTTCAATAATTTACGCAATTTGATTTGGTCAGTAGGAGACAGATTTTGAAATGTAAATGGGAGATTGAATTGATTGCAGTTTGTAAGCTTTAGATAAAACTTTGACACAGTCAAATTGGGAAGTAAATTCAACAAGTAAGGTGCGTGGGCGCGTACTGGTAGCAATACGTTTTCCCAGGCGCTTGAAAAATTTAACTTTAACAAAAGAATCATTCCCTAGGTGAGTCAAAATAGCAGTAATATGGTGAATATCAGATTCAGTTTGTGATTTGAAATCACCTCTGTTTTCGGATATACCATCAATTTTCAATTCACGAGTCCAAGTATTATCGACAGGAGAAGAAATTGCAGGAACAGTAGTAGGAGTTGAAGCAACTGCGGCGTATGTTTGAGCAGAGCTCGAAACTGTACCAGCAATTTCAGTAAATTTCTCAGTAAGTTTATCGGTAAAATTAGATAAAATAACTTCGATCTTTGGAGTAATAACCTTATCCAAGGTGTTGTCCGAAATTTTCTGATTGATTGGTTCATTGGATTTCAGACACTCACCGCAGACATATTGAATGTTGTCAATCTTGGTGATCTGTTGAACGAGCTCTAGTGATAGTCCACAACACTTGTCATGCATCCACTTCCACCAATCGTCTCAGAACATTTGTTACACACATCTTGTTCAGCAGTTGAATTTGCTCGATTCGTTCGTTTGATCGAAACCATTTATATGAAACTATTTAATAAGTTTATCACAACAATCGGAGCCATTTATATGAAACTATTTAATGAGTTTATCACAACATAATAATAATAAATAATATGATCTCGCCATTCAAAAGTTTATGTTTTGTTAGGATACTACTATGATAGAGTGGTCCCTTGAAAAAGCAACTATGATAGACAGGTCCCGCATGCATTTCGCATGTTATAATTTTGAAAAGTAATTTGTGTATAAATTAGTCATTTCAAAAATCTTGCAAAATATGTTCAGCCAGAAACTTTTCAGATTGAAAACTGTAATCACTATTGTTTATATATTGTTTATATATTGAAACCTGCTCGCTTTACTTTATTTTACGGTTTAACAACCATATAATTGGATTGACTTATTTGTCATCAAAACCCACTATTGGCGTTTTTTTTATTTTCAACCTTAAAATGGTGAGGGGGAGGTTTTAAGAGGTAACAAACATGAATTTTGTTTGAAAATATACTGCGACATCTTTCTGGAAGGCGTAATCATAATTATTAAAAGATTTGAGAGCTCTAGGTCTCTTATTCTCAAGGGACCTGGTTACTTTCAAGGGACCACTCTATCAGAGTAGTACCTTTGTTAGTCTCCATCACCATTTTAGGTTGAAAATTTAAAAAAAAACGTCAATAGTGGGCTTTGATGACAAATAGGTCAACCCAATTCTAGTTCATAAAATGTAAAATAAAGTGAAGCGAGCAGATTCAATATATAAACAATGTAGTAATTGGAACTTTTAATCTGAAATGAGATTTTTGAAATGAATAACTTATACACAAAAAAGTTTTCAAAATTATAACATGCGAAATGCCTGCGGGACCTGTCTATCATAGTTGCTTTTTCGAGGGACCACTCTACTATAGTAGTACCAACGCAAGAAAACAGAAAATAAAAACTGACTTGTTTTGTGAAAAAACTTCAGCTTTAAAAATTTTTGGTAAAATATATAGGACTAATTTTTTCCATAAATTGTCCAGTGCGTTCCGGACTCTTGTTGCTTGAATTGTGAAGTCAATCGCGTTTTTCGTGACCTTTACAAATTTGCTGCTCGATATTCGAGTCTTAACTAAATCGTCGACCATTAAAAACTCAATAGAGATTTCTGATCCACAGCAGTGAGAACACAACTTTCAAAGACCACCAAATTTTCACATCAACCAGACAAGGAAAAATGATAAGATGTTTCATCGAAAACTTGGCCAGTATTCCGTCCCGATGACCAGCAACACTCATCACAAAAACTTTCTGCGAAGAGCCATCACAATATTCCTGGAGCAAAATTCAAAAGAAGATCACAGGAACAGATGTCATGACCAAATTTGCGAAATTAAATACATTAGAGGCTGCTAATCGATAACTGTCGCAGGTATTTTAATTTTTTGCAAGAAAGTAAGTAATAATACAACATGACCACCTCGAGCATTGTCAAGAAATCAGAGGTTCAGAAATCAAGTTTTCACATCAGTCATGCAAAATGGGAGGACAGGACGACCAGAAAAAAAAATAAGCTGTTTCTTCAAAAAATTGGTGGCTATTCCGTCACGATGACCAGCAAAAACCAGCCCAAAAAAGTTTTGCGAAGATCCATCACAAAATTCCCAGAGCAAAATTCAAAAGAAGATCACAGGAACAGATGTCATGACGAAATTTGCTATATCAAATATATTACAGGCTGCTAATCGATAACTGTCGCAGGTATCGTAATTTTTTGCAGGAAAGTAAGTAATAATACATGACCACCTCGAGCACCGTCAAGAAATCACAGGTTCAGAAATCAAGTTTTCACATCACTCATGATAAATGGGAGGACAGAAGAAGAAGAAAGAACACCTAAATTACTATACAATAAAAGCCGAGCATTAGTATAGCAAAGTGTAAATAATAAAGTTGGTTAAGATTCATTGGTTACATCAAACAAAAACACAACATCAGAAAACAAGCAATAAACAAAACAAAACAAAACAAGTTCGGTTACAGTTCAGAAATTGGTTGATTAAAATATATGAAGTTACGGATACTGAAAAAACATCAGTTTTAAGAATTAAGAACGAGCTGGTATTAAAACTTTACAAACAAATTTTACAGATAGTCCAAACATACAGCGTATATACAGAGTTTTCACAGATTCTCTTTCAAACAATGTGTGAAAAATTAAATTAAATTAAAACATATAGAACTAGCAAAAACGGAAATCACGCCACGTCTTTGTATTTGTACATATTGGATTGTTTCTCAATTCACTCACGTAAAATTCGTTCAATTTTTTCTTGAATCCTGTCCTCAATTTTTCTAAATTGCGCAAAATTATGGGCAGTGAATTCCATTTTTTAGAAGTCAAATGAAAAAATGATTTTTGTAGAGAAGCGGTTGAACAATGTTTGTCAAAAATAATTTGTTTCGTTCTTTTGTTGAGCCTATAATTGGCAGTCGGTAGTCTCAGTGTATTTTGAAAAGCCTTCTTTTTGTTTGTAAGATATTGGTATACGTATGTTTAAAAAGCAACTATGATAGACAGGACGACCAGAAAAAACATTAAGCTGTTTCTTCAAAAAATTGGTGGCTATTCCGTCACGACCGCAAGGGTACTACTATGATAGTACTACTATGAACGCAAGGGTACTACTATGATAGAGTGGTCCCTTGAAAACAACCAGTTACCTTGAGAACAAGACACAGAGCTCTCAATTCGTTTAATAATTACTTGTCAAACCTAATTATTACCTAATAGTTACTTGTAATTACTTGTCAAACACCCTTGTCAAACGCCGTATCATCAAATTCTTCTGGGATTATTACAACTCAAACTATAATGAACTAGACATTTGTTCTTGGCAATTTGCTCGCCACTGCAGCATCTGCCGCCAACGCATTGCATAGCATCATCATTGACTTTATTTCGGGCTCACGCCCCTAAATCTTTTGATTGTAAAACCATAATAATAATAATAATATGAACTCGCCATTCAAAAGTTTATGTTTTGTTAGGCTACTACTATGATAGAGTGGTCCCTTGAAAAAGCAACTATGATAGACAGGTCCCGCATGCATTTCGCATGTTATAATTTTGAAAACTAATTTGTGTATAAATTAGTCATTTCAAAAATCTTGCAAAATATGTTCAGCCAGAAACTTTTCAGATTGAAAACTGTAATCACTATTGTTTATATATTGAAACTTGCTCGCTTTACTTTATTTTACGGTTTAACAACCATATAATTGGATTGACTTATTTGTCATCAAAACCCACTATTGGCGTTTTTTTTTATTTTCAACCTTAAAATGGCGAGGGGGAGGTTTTAAGAGGTAACAAAACATGAGTTTTGTTTGAAAATATACTGCGACATCTTTCTGGAAGGCGTAATCATAATTATTAAAAGATTTGAGAGCTCTAGGTCTCTTATTCTCAAGGGACCTGGTTACTTTCAAGGGACCACTCTATCATAGTAGTACCTTTGTTTGTCTCCATCACCATTTTAGGTTGAAAATTTAAAAAAAAAACGTCAATAGTGGGCTTTGATGACAAACAAGTCAACCCAATTCGGGTTCATAAAATGTAAAACAAAGTGAAGCGAGCAGATTCAATATATAAACATTGTAGTAATTAGAACTTTTAATCTGAAATGAGATTTTTGAAATGAATAACTTATACAGAAAAAAGTTTTCAAAATTATAACATGCGAAATGCCTGCGGGACCTGTCTATCATAGTTGCTTTTTCGAGGGACCACTCTATCATAGTAGTACCAACGCAAGAAAACAGAAAATAAAAACTCACTTGTTTTGTGAAAAAACTTCAGCTTTAAAACTTTTTGGTAAAATATATAGGATTAATTTTTTCCATAAATTGTCCAGTGCGTTCCGGACTCTTGTTGCTTGAATTGTGAAGTCAATCGCGTTTTTCGTGACCCTTACAAATTTGCTGCTCGATATTCGAGTCTTCACTAAATCGGCGACCATTAAAAACTCAATAGAGAGATTTCTGATCCACAGCAGTGAGAACACAATTTTCAAAGACCACCAAATTTTCACATCATCATTGACTTTATTTCGGGCTCACGCCCCTAAATCTTTTGATTGTAAAACCATAATAATAATAATAATATGAACTCGCCATTCAAAAGTTTATGTTTTGTTAGGCTACTACTATGATAGAGTGGTCCCTTGAAAAAGCAACTATGAAACCAAAACCAGCTTGAAATTTTTGGTTTTTTATTCAAAACGTACATGTCTAAATCGAAATTATGACTCAGAAACTTCCAGACAAATTAATTTTAAAATGTTTAATTAATTTTAGAGGTTAAAAGTATTTTAATCTTAATAGTAATTTAGAGGTCAACTGTGATTGGCTAATTTTTTATCATGATGGTTTAGAACCAAATTGTATGTGATTTATTGTAAATAACTTTTGTAAATTGATGTTTTATCGTCATTTAGAGTAGTTTATTGTAAAAATCCTGACGATGCACATAGTTGCGAAAACGTTTGAAATTTACTTTTTAGCAAAAATTTCTTCAATTTTACTTGTAAATTCGTGATAAACCAAAAAGCGAAGAGCTTGAAATTCCAACTGTTTTCCCATTAAAGGGCCAGTATAAAAATTTTTAATGATTTTCATCAATGTATAGAGAATTTTTATAGTGTTTTTTTTTGTATCGATACGTAAAAAATGGCCGATTTTTATTTGAGTTACCGAAATGTTTCATATTGTAGCAGCTAGCTCCCTGTTCCACAGCATCAACACCCTTAACACAGGGGAAAAAAAGCAATACGAGAGCCTTGTTACAGCAATTCCTGGCCTATCCCTTAATAACAACTTGCTGAACCAAGGAAAGAACCTCCGACGACTACTGGAAGACAGTCCACTGAAGGAGAAAAAAGTGGTTGTGTGGCACGACGTGGTGAACAACACCATTAGCAGCCACAGAACAAACAACTATCGCCCAGCCGGTGTCGAGGAGCTGACAAACTATTTGAAGACGAAGAAGCAGCAGATATTGGCGATCGTTT